CTTTAGAGAGGGGTCCGGGAGGGCATCTGGCGCCGGAGATTCAATGGGATGAGAGCAAAGGGCAAGTGAGTACAGACGAGTGATAGCCGAGTGTATGGAAATGTAATGGGAAAATGTGGAGACAAGAAGAAAAAAAAAAAAAAGAAAAGAAATACATGAATCCATATACATATACTGCGATATATTTCAGTATTACACTATCTTACATAAAACAATATATTCTAAATTGAAATAGAAAATAAAATATACCATTAAATTTTATGGCAGCAACACATCTCTAATCAGGTTAATGGGAAAACAATAATAATAAAAGGTACATTTAAACAAACACATGGATGCATTAGTTATTAATTATAGTTCTGGTTTAATCCTGGTCTAGTCCTGGTTTGGTCCTAGTCTAGTCCAAGTTTAGTTCAGGTTTAATCCTGGTTTAGTTTTAGTCTAGTCCTGGTTTAGACCTAGTCTAATCCAGGCTTAGTCTTGGTCTAGTTCTGTTTTCATCCCGGTCTAGTCCTAGTTTAGTCCTGGTTTAGTTCTGTTCTAGCTCTGTTCTCATCCTGGTTTAGTCCTGGTTTAGTCCTGGTTTAGTCCTGTTTGGTTCTGGTCTAGTTCTGGTCTAGTCCTGGTTTGGTTCTGGTATAGTCCTAGTCTTGTCCGGGTATAGTCCTGGTTTAGGTCCTGGTTTGGTCCTGGTTTGGTCCTGGTTTGGTCCTGGTCTGGTCCTAGTCTGGTCCTAGTCTTGTCCTGGTTTAATCCTAGTCCAGTCCTGGTCTAGTCCTGGTTTGGTTCTGGTTTAGTCCTAGTCTTGTCCTGGTTTAGTCCTGGTCTAGTCCTAGTCTAGTCCTGATTTAGTCCTGGTCCAGTCCCGGTTTAGTCCTGGTCCAGTCCCGGTTTAGTCCTGGTCCAGGGTCGGTCTAGTCCTTGTTTAGTCCTGGTCTAGTTCTGGTTTAGTCCTGATTTAGTCCTGGTTCAGTTCTGGAAGTCTTAATGATTTTGTGATGTTGTACAAGTCTGAACAGCCTCAGTGATTCAAAATGAAAAACATGAAAAATGATTTTTTTAAATAGCTAAAACAATACAAAATACATACATATTTACAAAAATCTCATTTAAATTTTTTCAAACATCAAAATAATTTTAGCACCACTGCATTCCTTAAACCTTAAATTGTCTTTTATTTGTTCGCCTGATCTGTTTTCGCTCCTTTTCCGCGCTTTGCTAAAGAGGCGGTGATTAGCGCTGGGCTGTTCATTAATGCTAGCCTCCTGAGTGAGGGACAGCGGGACATGATCCGGGGGGACACTTCCTGATTGCTTTGGCGTGTTTGCTAGCGCGCGACGCAAGACACAACAAATTACCTAGCAAATGAGGAGCAAGAGCTAGCTTTGGAATTAAATCTGGGGCCTCGTCGTCAATGCGGCGAGGAGCTAATTAGCAAACACTGGGATCTCATTCTGCTAGCGCACAATGGTTAGCCGAGGATTTGTGAAAGAGGATTCAAAGCAGGGAGAGTTTGTAATGTGGTTTAAATAAGTAAAAGCAGAGGGCAGAATCATGCCTTTCAAGTAAGTAAATTCATTACATAGTCAAGAAGTATTTATAATGTTTTAATTTAGGATATATAAACTAATACTACAGCTAATGAAACAGTTACCCTAATAACCACCATGAAAACCACTACTACAAATACTACACCAACAATATTATTACTTACTATTACTACCTACTACTACTACTACTACTACTACTACTACTACTACTACTACTACTACTACTATTATTAATACTACTACTGCTACAACTTATACTTTCATACTACAGGCAACAATATTTCTATCATTACCACCACCACCACAATTACTACAGGTACTACTACTACTACAACTGCTCCTACTATTATTAATACTGCTACTACAACTACTACCTACTACTACTTCTGCCCTTTCACTTCCTCCTCCTCCTCCAACAACTACAACTACTACTACAACAACCACAACAACTACTACAACAATTACTACAACTACAACAACTACTACAACTATTACTACAACAACTACTACAACTATTACTACAACAACTACTACTACTACAACAACTACTACTACAACAACAACTACTACAACTACAACAACTACTACTACGACAACTACAACTACAACAAGTACTACTACTACAACAACAACTACTACTACAACAACTACTACTACTACTACAACTACTACTACAACTACTACTACTACTACTACTAACTACTACTACAACTACTACTACTAGTACTACAACAACAACTACTACTACTACTACAACTACAACAACAACTACAACAGCTACTACAACTAGTACAACAACTACTACTACAACAACTACTGCAAGTTGTAGTAGTTGTTATAGTAGTTGTTGTAGTCTACAACAACTACTATTAATGCTAATGCTGCAAATATTACTACTATTTCTACTCTACCAACAATAAAATCACCATTTTGATTACTACAACAATTACAGCTAACTAAGGCTACTCTATAAGTATTAAAACTTATTCCAACAATGCCCCTTCCAACACCACCACCAAAACTACTACTAGGTGTACGTGTACTACTACTATTACTACGGGTACTAGGAACACATATTCGTGCTTATCCTAACAATACCGCTATCATCACCAATGGTTTTACTACAACTACTTCTACTGGTATTATCGCCAATACTAACTCAATTGCGGCTACTAATGTGCCTGCTACTACTGCTACTACTAATATTAATACTACTACTATTACTGCTACAACTGCTACTTTCATACTACAGCCAACAATATTTCAAAAATTACCACCACCACCAGTACAATTACTACTGCTACTATTACTACTCCTGCTGCTGCTGCTGCTACTACTACTACTACTACAACTACTACTACTACAACTGCAACTACTACAACTACAACTACTACTACTACTACTGCCCCTCCTTCCACTACTACTATTATTGCTACAATTACTTCTTTCATACTACAGCCAACACCACCACCACTACAATTACTACAGCTGCTACTACTACCAGTACTACTACTGCTTCTTTCATACTACAGCCAGCAATATTTTAATCATCACCACCACAGTTACAACAGTTGCTACTACTACTATTATTACCACTACTACTATTGCTACTCATACTACTACTACTATTACTACTACTACCACTACTACTGCTTCTAGAACTATGACAGCTAATAAAATCATCATAACTTACAACTTACAACTACAGTTCACCGAGGTCTACTAGTACCGCATGTAGTCTTTACAGTAAAAGTACACTAACCAAGAATACAACCTGTACATACAATAAATAAAGTACATACAATAAATACTGACACCAGTGTACTTCTGCAACGCTCTCGCACTACACACCTCAACTTCTTGCCTCAGCCTGTGCAAAATGTTTTATTTAAAAGCATCTAGTTTAATTGGCTTCTGTGTCAAGACGTCTACCTCCGGGCTTGTTATGGCCGTGCCCTTTGACCCCCCCGTTGCTAGCGTGCTTGAAAATCGCCTCCGGCACAAGACGCTCCGCTGTAACGTACAAAACATAGCATGACATAGCATAGCGCAGCACAGATCACCTCCGCTTGGCCTCGGATCGCGCTTTTGTCCGCTGCACTATATGGCCCGGCGATGGTGGAAGTAACTGTGGAAAAGTGATGTAACAGCTAGCAATAGCCGCTAAACATGGCAGAGAAGTTGGCTCCAGAAGTTTTTTTTTTTTTTTTTTTTTTTTTAAATGCCACGATTTGTAGCTTTTTAAAAAGACAGGCTGCAAACTTGTCAAAAGTGATTTCAAACTGACGCAGACACCGGCATTAAAATTCCGAGGATGTAGCAGTAAAATATGCCAGATAATAAATGTGTCGTGCTTGCGTTTATATCATTTCCAGTTAGCAAGAGAATGGAAATGTAACTTAAGCTCATGCAACGCCTCAAAGGACTCTTATTGTCCTGAATTGACTTTCCTCTAGTTCAAATTTAGCTCCATCATTTGGGGTTTTAGTTAAATAGATTTTCACGCGTTTGAGTAATCTTGCGTGCGTTTTGTCTCCTTCTAAAGAACTCGAAATACTCTGTTCTATCTGCTGACGTCATGAGGAAGCGCTTCACTGTGTTTTAAAGGTTCATGCACGTTCACCCAATCAGTAACATTAACGTAACATGGCATCGGACTTCACAAAATCAGGGTAGAAGCAAGGTCTTAAAAGTCTTAAATAGGTCTTAAATTTCATGTTTCTATATTAAGGCCTTAAAAAGTCTTAAATTATTTAGTCCAAGTCTTATTTTTTTCACAAAGGGCTTAAAATTCATTAGTCAACCGAACTGTAGTACAATTTTAAACGGAGGGAGGAAAACAAAAACAAAACAAAAAACTAAACAAAACAAAAACAAACAAAAAAAACGTAATTTGGAGTATGTGCAAACAATACTTAGTTTGTCTTGTTAGAATGTTATAAATGATTTTTTGGCCATTTCACAAACAATGCATACTACAGTAAATGAATTTGAATGAGATTTTACAATAAAAGTATTTTTTGTTATTTAAAGTAGTGAATAATGGTCATTATTACAATTGGATCAGGTGTTTTTCACTCGCATAATGGGTGCAATATTGGTCTTAATTTTCATTTTAGTGGCTTTAAAAAGGTCTGAAAAAAGTCTTTAATTTGGGGTAGTCAAACCTGGGGATACCCTGAAAAAGGATATATGAACAATCAAAAACACCAACAACAAAGTCTTGAGTGATGTCACATAGTACTTGAAATAGCAGAAGCCACTGGAAACAACACAAACTTGGATTTAGGCTTTTTTTAACCATTTTTTTCAAAGTAACCTAATTTTACACTAAAGTTGACAAAAAATGACTAGGTGTCCAAATGAAGAGTTCAATAGCAAAAACAAATCTCCATTTGTTTCTTTTTGTTACCATTTTCTAGAGATATTATCAGCGACAATAATGTGTGATTTGATCAAGAAGGGATGGAATTATATTTTTATAGCAGTAAAATTAATTTGGCATTTGAAAATATGACTATACTAAAAGTAAAGCACAAGCATCCAATGACTTTTTCAAATGGCACTTACCTGTTTTTTGCAAATAATATATCTGTTTGTTCAGCCTTAACTTACAAACTTTTTAACATTCTAACAAAAGCCTTATATACCTCTTCTAAATGTGAATGTCTATGTGTCTTGTGTCCTCAGGTGTGTGGGGCCCAGGTTGCAGGACTGTGTGGGCATGATGGACAGGTGAGTGAGACTTTTTTAATTTATTTTTTGTGTCTGTGTGTCTTCGTGATATATAATGTTAAATTGTATAGGAGTAGAATGACATTTGTCTATTGTATCATTTGCTGAATGAAAAAAAGTCATACAGTACATAAAAACAGTACATAAAAAGAAGATATAACTCGTATCATAAATGCAAAGAAACGCAAAACTTTCTAAAATAAATGAATATGCCTTAGTTCAAAACTAAATCATTGTTTCCTCATCTAAAAAAGCAAAACCCCAAAAAATCTAGGGAGCACTGATTCACTATTGGTATCTGATACCAGCGCTGATACTGAAAAAATTGCTGGATTGGATATTGGCTTCCAAGTATCGGTGCAAACAATATCACTGGACATTTAAAGACGTAATAAGGCTATTTACTGGTCGTAGTTGACCCAGAAATCCCCAATTTCCCCAATTTCAATGAAAAGGTGGTGCTCGATAGCATGTGGTAAATTCATTTGAAACTCAACAGTCCAGTATGTACATGAAGAAATAAACTAAGCCTTTGAGTATTTTGTCAATAATTAATTTTTTTTCAAGTTACTACAAGAGACAAACCTACATAGATACATACATACATACATACATACATGGGCAGCAGTAGCTCAGTTGGCAGTAGGGATGGGCATTCGATGAAATTTTCTTAATCGATCGTCGGAAGAATTAACGATCGATTATCGATTAATTATTAACGTTTTTATATTAAAATGATCATCATTATTATTACTATCTGCACTACTAATCTGCATAAATAAATTCAACTTTACAACATATAAACCGTAACCACTCTAGAGCCACATCAGCCCGTTTGACATTATAATGTGTTAAATTAGGTTTTGCGCAACTCTCACAGAAACTAAACTTAAAACTGCATCGCTAATTTGCATCAACTAAGCGAAGATAAAACTACAGCTCTTGTGTCGCTGATGCGGTTCAACTTCTGTTGGATTAAAAGACATGACTCAGTGGAATACAGGTTAGTGTGACCAGATTTGTGGGAGGTGGGGCCTCGTCATCGACATTGTGCTTCTCTCACCTGGCAAACCTTTTTCCCACTGGACACCGAAACATATGTTCCTGCTTTATACACTGTGCACATGGACTCACACTTGTCCCGAACGCATTGGAAAGCCTGGAATTTCTTGTACAAGTCATTGTTAAATACGCATTTGTGCTTCGGTACGTTGCAGACTGACCGAATGTTTCTGAGTGCAGAGACACATGTACAGACCCTGTTTGGTCACGCTATGCACAGCAACCTACATTCGGTTTGTCGATTAAAATTAACGTAATCGATGAAATTCTTAATGATCAATTATCGATTAATCAATTAATCAGGCCCATCCCTAGTTGGTAGTGCGTCTGTCTACTAATCCAAAGGTTGACAGTGCGAATTTCAGCTCCCACAGATGAACTGTTGTGTACTTGGGCAAGACACTTAACCCACCTCGCATACACTGGGGGTGAAGTGGGTTAAGTGTCTTGTCACGTGAATGTGTGTGTGAATGGGTTAGCGGCTCCTTGACCGATAGCCCTTTGGGCGCCTCGAAGGCAGTGAACATCTCCATGGCGACAAGAAGAAAAGTTACACGGCGCGCCTTTAACTCAAACCTGCACGTGACCGCTTTCCTTTTTTGCCCATCCCCAGACCTTCTCCTACCCCTCCCCACACAGACATCTTTCTACATCGTCCTCCATGCCCCATTTTTATTTTTTTTGGTTCTCTACACCAAATCTCTTCACATTCCGCTCGAAGGTGGAAAAGCTTTATATCAAAATTTTACCTTTTGCCCATGAATTTGTTAATTATACTTTCTTGCTACTAGATGTGGACATTACTTCATTGCGGTTCTATCTTAAGACCTCACCACACCTTACTATGGTTCACAGTAATTTAATATAACACAGTCTGCCAATCTTTTTTCCAGTTTACCCTTATTGTTTTCGCTCCAGATACTGCCCACACACTCATATTGTTTTGCAGGTAACAAACTCGCAGACAGCCAGAACTAATTCTTCCATTTGAGCTGCGCTAAGGCCTCGGTCTCCTGACTCCTGGCTTCATACCAATATTACTCCGCCAGTATCGACCGCCTGTCCAACACCCAAACAAAACAAGAGCACTCATTTCCAAAAATGTCAAAGTATTTATATAGGGGACGGAGGGCTCGACCTTCAACTGTTCGCCATGTACCCACTTGACAAGTTCCACGATTTTATGAACTCTCGCTCTGTCGTGAACTTAAAGCGTTTGCTAACTTAGACGTCTTGTGGGAAAACGTGAACTTAAAACTGCATCGAGCATGAAATGTGCCGTATGTAACTTTTTTAGAAGGTCTGCTACCATGAAGATATTACTGCTTTGGCTGGAATTTTCCACAGTATAACATTAAAGTTCTTAAGCTTGCATTTATTTAATTACAAGTGTTTAATTGCTTTAAGTATACTTGGCCTGGTTGTGTCACTGGTCTGCCTCGGTGGAGACAGATAAGCTACAAAGTTATAATTAAAGGAACTGTATATAGCCTCTGCTCTTACTATTTTACAACCACAAGTGAACCTGTGTCCCCAGAGATTTAACCTGCAGAAAGAGGACACTTCCAAGTTTGTCTCATTCTCATTTTATGGACTCATGTTAAAGCTCAGAACCTCCAGAATTCACTCACTGAGCTACAGGGGCTGCACTAGCACTGATTCATGATTGGCTGCAGGAGCTGGGGTTTAGGTAGTGATTGTTCAGATCAGAGAGAGGATTTTAGGTTTAAATCAACTGGATTTTGGCTCTGAAACTGGCACTTGAACCAAAACACCAAATGATAACGCAGTGAGTAAAAGCTCTATTTGATTGGAGCATGTTTATCTCATATCTGGGGACACAGATATGTTAAGTTTATGAAATTTAAAATCTAAATCGTACATAGGCACGGTGGTTGAGTGGCTAGTTGGCCTTTCATTGTGGAGTTTCCATGGTCACCTTGTGTCTGGATGGGTTTCCTCTGGGCACTCTGTTTTCCCCAAAACATCACCCCAAAACATGCACCATATAGACCAGGGGTGTCCAAACTTTTTTCATCAAGGGCCACATATCAAAACACAGATGAAGTAGAGGGCTGATCAGGGGCCGTAGACTGATGCTCATTACAGTGAATAATTGAAATCTGTGCATGTTTAACATGTTAGAATGAGCCATCAGTCTTTATTCATGCTAAGCTCCTTAAACCCACACACTAAATATGAAATATTAGCTTTATCAAGGTAGATTTTCAAAATACTTGCAGTAAAAAGTAAATTTTTAATTTGACGCAAGGTAATTTGGGCCAATTCACCTGGAAGCTTGAGGGCCAAGAAAAAATTGTCTGAGGGCCGCATTTGGCCCACGGACCATAGTTTGGACATGCCTGATATAGATCGTATAAATGAATGGACGTATATTCTCTGTAGCATTTAACAGATTTCATAAATGCAACACACTGTAGTCTTTTATACAGAGGATACATGTAAACAAAACAAAAAAAAACAAAAAATGAAATGCAGTGTTGTCCTCATTTTTTGGTTTTGTGGCGTCGGGTGTTTTTCTTTTCTGTGGGAGATGCTCCAAAAGGCTTCTTTGAGTATTTAAGGTTGCCGACCCCTGATATACTGTAGGTAAAATCCTCCAGCTAAGGCAGTCCTGACCAAGCCGAGCAACGTGATCATGGAGATGGGTCCCCAGACATGCCATGTGCACTGCTCCTGAAAGGATGACTGGAATGCAGAAGACAATTTGCCTAATAAAGTACTTCAAAATATAGAGTTCCTTTAATGTATACAGTTTGAGAACTACTATGCACCTTATGCACCTCAATGCAGAGTGTACCATCTCCTTGTCCTAATGTAGATATTACTGCTTTGCCTAAAACACTGTTTCCCAAAGACCGGGTCGCGACTCTCAAGTGTGTCACAAGAGACTTTTTTTTTTGGGGTGGCCTTGTCACAATCTTCATGTTCTGTAATATACAATTCTGACACCTGAGAGAGCGCGTGAACACCCTGTCCTCAGTAGGGCCAGTATTTCTCTGCCTATTCCTTTCACTACTACATATATGTGTGAATTGGGATTTTCTGTGCTCACAAAAATGAAAACAAATCACAGAAACAGACTGAATCCTGCGCCTGATCTGCTGTTGCGCTCTCCCCCTGCACCCGGACTGAAACACACTACAAAAACACAGACAGGTCCACCAATCTCATACAGATGTTGAAATGTTAAGACCTGTTTTGTATCATTTCTAATCTTTTTGTAATTATTTTATTGACTATTTTGTTCCAGTATTGCTGGTTCAATTGAATGTTGAAAAGAAAAAGAAATGGGCCACATTTAAAGTCCAAACAGGCGACTTATGGATCCTTTTATTGCTAATTCAATGACAGTTTTTCATTGTTTAAAATTTGAGTAATACTAATTGTTCAGAGACACAATCACTCAGTCAACAATAAAGCATCCTCATCAATGTTCAATAATGCTCAAATCCACCTTTATTTTGTGATTTACGAATAATGTCTATTGACTTGGGTTGTGAAGGTTTGTGACTTTTAAAATATGGGTCCCCAGATAAAAAGTTCGGGAAACACTAACCTAGAACATTTAACAGTATGGAATTTAATTTATATATCTTCCTGAAGACACAAGCAGGTAATGCAGACAGGTCAACTTACAGGTCACATCAGAGGAAAAGCAAATCTACTAATGGGTAGAATATGTTTTTCATCAAGCTGGGGGTGTACTGCAGTATGTTTATGACAGAATGTTCGGAAATGATTATGGCGAGATATGCATACATTAGCCAACACTGCCAACCAAGTTTTAAGATCATCGGAAAACTTTTGAAAAAACACAGAATGGATTTAAACAGCACTTTTTCGGGAGCCTGTGATCAATACGAGGTGAGAGTGACAAACTGAAAAACTCTTGGCTAATGGTAGATACGGTAGAGCTTGTGACTGCAGTGTTATTTGAGTGGGACCCTGTTGCATTTCTTTCTGACCAGATTGTGTTAAAACAGCTAACTTAAGTAACAGAGCTTCAGAGCCTTCAGTTAGCCTCACAGAATCTGAGTATCATTTGTTTTTCAAAATAAAACCAAACATAAGAAAATGAAAAAACAACCATTTTCTTCATTATTTGTCTCCGAAACCAAAATGAAAAAACAGATAACGATTTTTATTGTTTTTTTTTTTTAAATGAAGAGTGGAAAACGGATAACGTCTATTTCCCTTTTCCGAAACTTAAACTGCGATGACGGACTTTTGCGCCACATATGGACTGAACCAGGACTAAAACAGGTCAGAACCAGGACCAAACCAGGTCTAAACCAGGATTAAACCAGGACTAAACTGATCTCAGTCCTGGTCCTGGTCCCAGTCTGGTCCCAGTTTCAGTCCTGGTCTGGTCCCGGTCTCAGTCTTAGTCCTGGTCCTGACACTCAGTCCTGGTTCAGTCCTGTTTTAGTCCTGGTTCAATCCTGGTTCAGCCCTGCTTTAGTCCTGGTTCAGCCCTGGTTCAGTCCTGCTTCAGTCCTGTTTTAGTCCTGGTTCAGTCCTGTTTTAGTCCTGGTTCAGTCCATATGCGGAGCAAAAGTCCGGCATCGCAATTTAAGTCAGGGAAACGGGAAACGGCCGTTATCCGTTTTTTTTCCATAATTCATTTAAACACAAAATCAAAAACTGAAAAAGCGAATCATTATCTATTTTTTTCATTTTGGTTTTGGAGACAAATAAAAAGAAGAAAATTGTTGTTTTTTCATTTTCTTATTTTTGGTTTTATTTTGAAAAACGAATAAACGAATGATACATGGACAACGTTCACGACATGAGCTGCAAAGTATCAATAAAACCTTTTTTTTTTTGCGAGATCGACAACATTAATACGAGAATGTTACAGAGCCCCCGTTTAAACATTCAGTTCTGTATCTTTAACCTAGAGTTCTTTTTATACCACTGCATTACTCAGCATTCCCCATTAAGATTCTACTCAGTCTACCGTTCAGTACAAATGGGGACTTTTTTGCCGACTCCACAAAGCTCCCCGCTTCTCAAACAGCCCGCGGACTTCCGAAGCCATTACGACGCCCATAAACGCTGTGATCTTTACAATTAAACAATTCCACTCATTACTGTTTTAACCGGATGCCCACGCGGTACGCCCATAAAAGGCCTTCCCCGGTCGCCCCCAAATATAGTCGTTCCTTCGAGCCCCTCCGCCGCCCTTTCTCCATCCTGCAGCCACAACCGCTCCTCCTTTGACCCCTCGCTGCACAAACCCGCTTCCTAATTAGAGAAATCCTCGCCTCCTCTCTCCTTGCTTCCTCTTCGCGATCCCCTTTTGTATTCCTGCTCCCTTGTTCGCTTGTTTACTTCTCTCCAACCTCGGCCGACCCTTCCCCGACCTAGAAAAGCGAGCGATTACAATTCAACGCCGGTCTGTTTACCTTATTAATCCTCTTTGCGACGTTTCGAGCCGGTTGCCAGGCGCGATCGATTGCACAGCGTGTAGCGTCACCTTAGCGACGGCGCGCTACACGATTCGTCCATTAGCGGCTAATGGGTGGAACGGCTAATAGGGTTTTGAACGTAATCTAGAAACTAAAAGATGGCTATTTCATCCTAGGTGTTTTTTTTTTAAAGATTAGAAGTCATATAGGGACTTAGCAGCGTACCGTATGTAAATGGCAAATGCATTAGCGGTGTTATTACAGCTAGCGAAAGTGCGGCTAACCTTTCGCGGCGTAAGTGTGCTTTTAGCCGCGAGGAGTTTTAGCCGGCTACTTCGCCACTAGCTAGGTAATAAAAGTTCCGCGTGGTACAAAAGCTTTTTTTTTTTTCCCCAGTAGTTTGTAAGTAGAAGCATCTTGGAAAGCTCGGAAATTGCTTGTCATTTCGGGACCCGCGATGTTTCTGGGACATAGTAGAATTGATGGAGGACTTTCTTTTTTTCTTACTTCAAAGCGGGGAGCGCAGCGGTTGGAGTTTAGGAGAGGAGTTGACTCGAAAATAAAAGGGAAGTTGCGAGCGGGGTTGAGTCGGCTGGCAATACGGCAGGGATATTTCTGTAAATGAACATTTTGTCCGTCGATGTAATGTGCTCGGAGGAAGTTGCAGCTATTTTTCAAAGCAAATATAGAAACGTGTCATTCAGAGCTAAAAGTAGAAGTAAAATATATAGCCCATAAGGATGTGAAAGTCTGTGAAATCTTCTTGTTTTTTTTTCCAAATGAAATGCCAACTCTGATGACTACACTTTCATATGTAATTTAAATCAGTGCACTATGTAACTTTTTAGTCCAGGACCCGTCACCTGCTTCTGTTTCTATGGAGAAGTCATTGGTCTGGAATGTTCCACAGTGTGACATTTAACAGCTCTACTTTACATTTATTCAATTACAGGTGGTTTTAAAGCTCAAAAATACCTAGAAAAACAGACATTCTGACTGTGAGTGGGGTTGCCTCTCCGCAGATCTGACCTGTTACATGGTCTGGTTTGGTCTCCATGAAGATAAGAGAGGTTTAATGCCATACTCTGAAACATCTCCACGAAGAAAAGCGTTTCGTAGTGTCAAAGATGAAATAATGATTGACAAGACATAGGGTTATGTGTTACATAAGGGTGAGTTGTTGTACAGTTGTAGGGAGTATTATCTGTTCCATAAGGGTGAGTTGTTGTACAATTGTAGGGAGTATTATCTGGTACATAATGGTGAGTTGTTGCACAGTTGTAGGGAGTATTATCTGTTACATAAGGGTTAGTTGTTGTACAGTTGTAGGGAGTATTATCTGCTACATAAAGGTGAGTTGTTGCACAGTTGTAGGGAGTATTATCTGTTACATAAGGGTGAGTTGTACAGTTGTAGGGAGTATTATCTGTTACATAAAGGTGAGTTGTACAGTTGTAGGGAGTATTATCTGCTACATAAAGGTGAGTTGTACAGTTGTAGGGAGTATTATCTGGTACATAATGGTGAGTTGTTGCACAGTTGTAGGGAGTATTATCTGTTACATAAGGGTTAGTTGTTGTACAGTTGTAGGGAGTATTATCTGTTACATAAGGGTGAGTTGTTGTACAGTTGTAGGGAGTATTATCTGTACATAAGGGTGAGTTGTTACAGTTGTAGGGAGTATTATCTGTTACATAAGGGTGAGTTGTACAGTTGTAGGGAGTATTATCTGTTACATAAGGGTGAGTTGTTGTACAGTTGTAGGGAGTATTATCTGTTACATAAGGGTGAGTTGTACAGTTGTAGGGTGTATTATCTGTTAAATAAGGGTGAGTTGTACAGTTGTAGGGAGTATTATTTGGAACATAAGGGTGAGTTGCTGTACAGTTGGGTGTGGAGTATGGTATGAATGTAGTCCTGTATCCTGTTCCCAAAACATATTTTTTGTTTTGTTTGTTTATTTGTTTCATTCACACGTTTTTTTTCTGCATTATATCGACATCTCCAAAGCTCAAAATGCTCTGTACCACCTTGTGATGTCATCAAGTGGTAGTGTTGAAATTAACAGCCAAGTTTTCAGTATCTTCTGGTACACTATCAAGTGAAAATATTTCATTGAGACTAAACCAAGATAAAAATTTTGGCAAACCAAATTATTCAAATGTTTCTTGTGAAGGTGTATGGAGTTTATAAACACAGTGGATCGCTTTTTTGACAATCACAGAAGAGCACTGGAAGTCTGGATTATCACCTAATGACATCACAAGGTGGAACCAAACATTTGCAAGCTCTGGAATGGAAGACAAGCAAACTATGTAGATTTATGAAAAGAGAAAATAATTACTAGCAGCGCAAGATCAAAATAGACTTAAAAGTTATGCAATTAACTATTAAAAATAAAAAATAGGTATACTTTACAATTAACAGTAAAGGTACTTTTAAAGGGGTGAACCTAAACCCTGTCTATTTAGCAGAATAAACGACTACAAAATTCAGCAGGAGGGAAAATTATACACAAAAAAAAATTGAACTATTATTTTAAAGCAGACCTAAAATTTACTTTTCAGAGCTTTTAACCACGCTACAGTTGTTGCCTTTCATCATTTACTCCCTGGAAGTTATATTTGGAGTGATTCGTGCATGTTTGAGCCGTCTTTAATTGTTTATTTTTAAGACACCCGTTCTCACCGCCTCGAGTACTCGCCCACTGCTGTGCACTTACTCTGTTCTCCAATTATTATTATTTTTAACTGGTGATACACATAGGATTTGGAAGCAACTTGATGCAGTGCAGTGATCCATAGGAGGTACCAACAGCTTCAAGGCTCTTTTGTGATGACGTTTACGGTGATGTTAGCTCCCATTGGGCACCACAGTTTTCAAACGCAAAAGTCAGCAAACATACTTCTTTTATGAAGTTGTTTTAGATCAATATTGCGATTTAAAACGTGCAAATGATGACGTAAAGATTCACAGGTGTCATAGCAAACACGAGCACAAGGCCTTCTTTAATAAAACATCAGATCGTTCTGCTGAGTCCACGTTGTCTTCTGTTTCTGACCGCTCTCCGTTTGCTCTCTCCCAGGACCCCTCTGATCGCGGCTGGAATCATCGGTGGTCTCTTCCTCCTGGTGATCCATGCCCTCAGCGTGGCCGTGTACGTGCGCCGCAAGAGCATCAAGAAGAAGAGAGCACTGCGACGCTTCCTGGAGACAGAGGTACGGAAGCCACACTGGAGCATGCTTTGTAAATATCTGTGAATCTTCTGTTTCAGTTTTAGTTTTAGTTTTGGCTTTAGGTGATTCTGGTGTTTTTTATTCTGCTTTTTGTCCTTGAATCAAAATATGAACATTCATATTCTGACCAATCACCCGTACTAGGGATGGGACAAGATCTCGTGCGGCAAGATCTCGTGAGACAAAATTGCCATGAAATTGTGCACATGCTGAAAATTATCTTGTGAGATTTTTAAGTACTGGTGAGTTAAATTTTTTTGAGAAGCTGTACTCCCAAAAAGCATTGCTACAATGACAGCAAAAATATTACATAAATTAATGTTGAGGCAAAAATTGGGAACTGGATTATACAATTTATTTTATTATAAAGAATGTCAAAATCTTGTCTTGTTTTGTTCTTGCAGATCCAAACTATATCTCCTAACTCGTACTGCTGATTTGGCAGGTTTGCGTACATTCAGCAACCTCGTTCCTGATTGGTGTGCTTTGGTTGGTTGGCCGTCACAGTCCCTCAGTCAACTTCTACAATCTATGGTCTTGGTTGAGAAAGTACAAACTAGATCTAGTCAAAGAAAATTTAATTTGTTTCTTTTTTGAGTACAGTGGTTACTCCTTAGATGTTCGTGGACAGGTTTGTTTTTGGGTTTTTTTTACATATCATTACATATATCATAATGACAAACAGAATTGAAATACTCTTTAATATCAGAATTATATACTGATCTTAAAGAAGTAAATGCATTAAAAAAATCTAGTAGTAGTTTAGAAAAAAAAAACAGTCCCTCATTTACATTACCAACATTTCATAACACATATGGAAAACACTACACACATGTGGACACTTGTATGATGCCTGTATACAGTTGATACTTTGATGCTGTCATCAGCATTCCCTGGGAGTGTGAAGCTACTCCGTCTGAAGCTCAGTTACTCAAGTTCAACTTTAAACTGGCTTTATTTTAAAACAACCAGACTATAACAGATGAGCTGATTTGTACTGTGAAACAAGTCTCTCTCAAGTCACAAACTAGTTAGCATTAGCCGACAGTTTTGGAAATAGTCACTCTCACCTTCTTTGTTGAAAATCAGACATCTAAACAGGCCCATGAACGCTCGTATAGATCATGCACTCCTGAAAATGTGCTGTTTAAATACATGGTCACATTTTTATACAGCTCTTTTCCACCTTCAAAGCACTCAAAGTACAAGAAATCACTCACTCATTCACACAGATATTTACATACCAGTGTACGCAGACACCGGGGCTGATGTAGGTGAAGTGTCTTGCCCAAGGACAAACATTCCTCTGTGGGAGCTGGAATCATTGTGTGAATTGTGTGTTTGTTTTTGATTGTTTATGTTGAGAGCGGGATTCAAACCACCAACCTTTGTATCAGTGGACAAGCGCTCTAACAACTGAGCTACAGTCACCCCATTTTGGATTTTTTTGGTCTTGAATTTTTTAAGTTTTCAGCCTGTTTACATGAGAATGCTTGTGGGTAAAAATGACAAAATATTTGATCGGAAGTGCCTTCGTTTAGACGGTAACGGCATTTTTGGGGCTTAAAAACGCAAATCTGAAACCAACGTCGAGAGTGGAAAAGTTGAATACGCTCTGCTGTAGCGTTTCCATCTACACTGCCCAAGACGCAAAACTCTGGTCAGATCTGCTCACGTTGCATACGTGTTTATATACATCACCACCTAGAGTCACCATCTAGCCCTCTGGCATGCATACTCAATCGAATTCCACACACTTTTGCAGGAAAATGCGAAAACGCTCGTCTAAACGCGGAATAAAAAGTGAAGACGCGATGCCACTTTTACATCTTCAGTTCTGTATGTTCATCATCATATAAACGTAGCCTTAGTCTGTGTTTGCTAATGTGTACGTTGCGTCACCGTAGTAACTGCTGAATATTCCGCCAATAGAGACACAAGTAGAACACCCACAGCGAGATGGCACTGCAAAGTATCAATACCGAAACATCCTTTAGAAAGAATCGCCACGAGACTACACCATATTTGTTTCGCAGTCGCTCCCTGATGGAAGTTTATGCTACATTTTGTGAGTGTTCCAGAATGATGCTTTCACTTTGCGCTGTTTGTAGAATTGGACAGGCGAGCTGCGATGCGTCACCATGGAGATCAGAGCTGTCAGTGTACAAAGACTCCGGTTTCTTATGTCACCATTTTGTAGTGACATGACATGAGAAAGTGGCATTCAAAGGGAATTCTTAGGGATGAAGACTTCTAATGCAAAAAATAGTCAAGTTTCAAGTGAACGTTTGTAGACTTTTTCCTCATGGATTTGAGTAAAAAGTGATAGAGATGTATTGTATAAGCAGCTATTGAGGTCAAAATAAGTATATTGTAAGGTAATCAGGAAGTGTGTGTTAGCAGACTAGTTGTTGTTAGTGTTCCTGTGAGGGCAAAATGGCACTAGGCTCTGATAGTTGTGAAAAGCACTTATAAACTCATCGCTGTGAATAATTAGGATGGTCTGAATCCAAAAAGTAAGTGAGGAATAACTTTGGACCATTGCAAACTGTTGAAAATGGACTAGTTCTGGATTTTTTTGACTTTGCTACTTTAAAAAATTTAAAATTGCATTTCATTGATATAGGCGAGTTTCATTTTTGACAAAAGTGTGCGTTGCATGCTGGGAATTATTTTGGTCGGCAGCAAGAAACACTAATTCGACATGACGGACGGAGCGAGAAAGCACGTAAAGGGTATTGATCCCGGTTATTTATCCACTCTAACGGCAGAGGACCCAAGACCATTTGACCAGAAATTGGTCATAAGCATCGACGGACGCCAAATCACCCTTTTCAACCCCGACAAAAGGTGGACCAAACCAAACTTTCTGGTCAGAATCGCCAACTACCTACCTGGACAAATATTCACTTGGGCGATATCCACAATGACTTGGTGGAAACTCCTGGGCCATTCACAGCAGAAAAGATGAAAACCTCCAAGAGTCTCGATGTGTTGTTGAACTTGTTGGAGTCCACGGTTTGTTAGGATCTTCTACGTTTGCTCTGCGAATGTTTGAAAGCCGTTTAATTCACCGTTAGCAGTTCTTTTCACTCAGAATATGAAAAAGACATTTTCCTTCTTCCGTGCTTCTATTTGTGCATCCGATAATGCAGCAGGAGTTTACCATTATCAGGGATAAATACGCGAGGTTACGCACTGTGTTTGACCGCTACCGTGTTTCTTGCCTCCGAACCAAAATATTTCCCAGCATGCAACGCGGGCTTTTAATAACAATGACGTCAGCTGAAACTCGCCTATTGGTTAAATTTCTATTAATTTTCGAGCCCAAGAGATGGTGTAACAAGAGGGTTTGCAGAATTGCAGAACAATAAAACTAAATTTGACGATAAAATAAAAGTACTCTGAGAGGAAGTATGATTGTGGTACTTTTTATAATATTATGATCAATTATTTCCCCCTGTAGTTATGAACAGAAAACCAGAAAATATCAATCCTCACTCAGATTGGCTTTAGGTCTCAAAATGGCAGCAATCTCTCTCTCAGATTGCCCAAAGGCAGCTGTGGCTAATACTGACTCAGTATTTATACCCTTCCGTGAGTGAAGTGTGCAGAACAGAAGCACGTACACCCTGCTACTGATGTGAACATTCTGTCCCATTCCTTTTAATGAGGCACAAAATAAAACATAACTGAACTTTAGGAAATAACTTCCAGTTCCAGTCCCTTTTGGTAAAGTTCACTTATTAAAGCGGGATTTGTGGTGGTCGAGGAAATAAAACTAAAATTTCATTGTCAAACTGCAGTGGCCCACTATAGTTTTTTATTTTTGTTTGTTTTTTTAATTCATTTTTATTTTTACTTTCTCTTAAAATTGAATGTAATTATAGAAGAAAATTAGGAAGTCGAAAAACATATTTAATCCCACCCCCATCTTTCATAAATACATAGTTGTTAGTGTGTATGCTCATTTCCGTCAGTCATTACTACGGCTGGGTATCATTAAGAAGTTGCCGATACGATACATACCTCGATACATAGGTCACGATACAATACATACTTCGATACATAGGCCACGATACAATACATACTTCGATACATAGGCCACGATACAATACATACTTCGATACATAGGCCACGATACAATACATACTTCGATACATAGGCCACGATACGATACATACTTCGATACATAGGCCACGATACAATACATACTTCAATACATAGGCCACGATATGATACATACTTCGATACATAGGCCACGATACGATACATACCTCCATACTTAGGCCACAATACAACACATATCTCGATACACAGGCCACGATACATACCTCGATACGATACATACCTCGATACGATACATACCTCGATACATAGGCCACAATATGATACATATCTTGATACAGTGCACCTTTGATTTGATACGATACATTTCAAATTGATTTGATATGGTTCAGTAAAAAAAAAAAGGCTAAATCATGTCTGTGATAGTAAAAGTCTTTGTTAAACCCATTTCTTGTGCAAAGTGAATATGAAACACAAACATTTTACTCACCAAAACAGTGAAAATGTCAAATATGTTACATAAACAAGATTCCTTCCACTAAACAAGCAACAAAACTGCAGCTCTGTAACAAAATAATGTAGTTAAATATACCAAAAAAATACTCTTGGCGATATATTGATACAGCAGCTCATGATATTGATACTGTATCTTCATATTAAACGATATGATATATCAATATTTTGGTATTTTTGCACAGCCCTATTCACTGTGTCAATAAACAGAGCAAAACAGAACAGTGCTTCACACACACTGAAATATTGTGTAGCCTCTGGCAGGCCCGTCGACAGAAATTTGGGAGCCCGGGGCAAAGAAACTCACAAGGGCCCCCCTCTCTAGTATACATGAATGGGAAGAGGGTCTAATTCTGGGCCCCGGGACAATAAACTCCTTTGTCCACCCCTCGGTGCCTCCC